ACTGTTCCTATTATAAACGTAAGTTTGCAAGCATTTATAATTTGTTTGAAAAATAAATTAAGGATGTTACTTTACTTTACACATTGAATTTCAATGGTGTATTTGTACTTTCTGATTTTGAGAAAAAAAATAGCCTGGAATATAGTCTGCTTTTTCCATAGTAAAAATTTAGGATTTCAGAATATGTTACCACCCAGGTGAGATTGGCATGGCAAATGGTGTTATTCCTGTTTCAAGGATACTTTGTCTGCACCATAAAAGGTTAAGTGAGTTTTCCAGGGTCACAGAATGAAGGGGCAGTTGAGATGAATGAGGTTAAGTAGAACCCAAAAGCCTAGAGGCATCAGTTTATAGGTGGCATCAGCATATTCTTTTAGTTTAGTTTTGTCTTTGGTCACTTTGCTTCATACTCCAGTAAATTAACAGTGCAAACTTGGCCAGACTTTCTGCTTCTGATAAGCCACTTACTTGATAACTGCCATTTAGGCACAGAGATCAGTGGTGACTTACGAGACAGAGATCAGAAACCCAGTCATAGCTGTCTCTGGAAAACAAAAAGCACAGCTCAGTTGAATTTGGTCAGAAGGAACAGCAGACTAGGAGAGACCAGAGTGTTGGATCTAAAGAGATGACAGACCAGGCATCACAGTGGGTACTCAGAGGCCTCTAGGACCAGCATGGAATAGCAGGAGCCTCCTCATGGCAGATGAGACATACCAGCCAAGAACTGGGATACAGGTGGTTTGGGTGGATGTTTGCCACTGGGAATCTTGCCTTGGAGAAGTCAGCCAGCAGGCAGCAGGGCCACAGTCGCTGGGACCAGGTCCTTCAGGGGAACTAGCAGAAGGAAGGCTGTCCAACTGTCAAGGAGGAGGCAGAGGTTCAGGCAGAAAAACTAAGACAAAAATGAAGTCATAGTGGGGTAGAGCCTAGATCCTGGGAACAAAGGAAAAGCCCAAATATCACTACTAGATTGAACAATGTAGCACCAAAACCAAAATAAAACCTATTAAAAAAATCCCTAAAATAATATATAATTTTCAGTATTGACAAGGACCATGAAAAATGTAAAATAGAGTAATTCATAAATTTCAATTATTTATCTTTCTATTATTCACATCTGATGTTGTTTTAGAAAAGTCATAGATGGGCTAACAAGGACTTTTGACAGGCTTTGGATAGCAAGACTAAAATAATTTCTTACTAAAGAACCCATGCTTAGTAGCTTTCTCCTTTCCAAACATTTTTTTAGCACAGTTTTCTCACAATGTAGGATTTTATTTCACAATAAGGAGGAAAAAAAAAAAAAAAAAACTCACTGCAGTCGAGTCGACTTTGACTCATAGCAAGCCCACCTTGGGTTTCTGAGGTGGTATCTCAATGGAAATAGATTGCCCAGTCTTCCTTCTGAGGAGTGGCTGGTAGGTTTGAACCACCAGCCTTCTTGTTAGTAGTCAAATGCCTTAGGCACTATACCACCAGTGCTCCTACAATAAGGAGAGAGAAAAAATTATTAGTACAATTGATATTTAGCTTGAGAGGATAAAAGTTAGGTATATGCAAAGGTTACCTTTTGTGTCATAAACATCCCTTTTTATTATCATATTTGAATTTTTGTAGCAATTCAGGCCCTCCAAAAAATGTAATAACTGTATTTCAGTAGCAATCTTTCTGAAGTATTGGCATAATGCCTCATTATATTGAAGAAATATCCATGCCAAATACTGAAACATGACATGGTTTTTTACTTGATCTGCAAGTTGGCAGTAGGAAAGGAAATTCTGTTGTAACTCTGTATTAACTAAAAGCCGTATCTACTTCAATTATCTAATATGCTACTGTAACTTACTTTAGAATAGTTTGCTTAAATGAATGTCTATAAAATAGTAAGAACTGTGTTGATGCTGAAATGAGCACAGACCATAACAATACAAAATTATATACAAAGGATCTTCCTTTTTATACTCCAGAGGTTTGCTTCAATGGGTCCACAAGCAAGTTGGAAATATGTCCTCTTCAGTGACATCCAGATTACTGTTTTGTCTTAAATTATTCTTCCTATTGTTGCAACACAAAGTCAATTTTAGCTATTTCTCTAGTTTAGATGCTTTAGTTGTTGCTGCTAGGTACTGTCGTATCAGCTCTGACTCATAGTGACCCTGTATGTACATCAGAATGAAACAATGCCCAGTTCTGTGCCACCTTCACGATCCTTGCTATGTGAAAGCGCATCATGCAGCCACTGTGTCAGTACATCTCACTGAGATCTTCCCCTTTTTCACTAACCCTCTACTTTACCAGTCATGGTATCCTTCTCTAGGAACTGGTCCCTTCTGATAACACGACCAAAGTAGGTGAGACAAAGTCTGGCCATTCTTACTTCCAGGGAGCATTCCTGCTGTACTTCTTCCAGGACAGATTTGTTTGTTCTTCTGGCAGTCCATGGTATTTTTAGTATTCTTCTCCAATGCCACAATTCAAAGGCATCGACTCTTCTTTGGTAGTATAAAAATGTCTTTGTAGTAACCAGTAGTTTGTTATGGCTTAGTGGTTTGAGGGCTGTTTTTACAATCTTTGACATCTCTTGAAAGGATTTTCAAGACCACTTTCAAATCATTAATTTGTTTCTTAATTTGCCTTATGATAACTGTAATAGGTCAGTCAGGTAAAAAAAAAAAAAAAATCCTGATTAACTGATCATGATAATTAGTGGAAAGTTCTCTGGGGTACACATAGAAAGTCTGCACTTCGGTCTAAAGAACCAATTGCATAAGTCTAGAAGGGGGAAATGTGGTGAGTATGGAAAAGGCTTGGGGTCCTTGTAAGCTCCTTTGCTCATTGTGAATCCAGAGTGTGGTGCAGTTGCCAAGAGAGTGGAGGCACCTGGAGGCCCAACTAACCAAAAAAACCAAACTCACTGCCATTGAGTCAGATCCGACTCATAGCAACCCCTCCTTGGGTTTCTGAGGCAGTATCACTACAGAAGTAGATTGCCCAGCCTTCCTTTTGAGGAGTGGCTGGTGGGTTTGAACTGCCAGCCTTCTGGTTAGCAGTGAAATGCCTTAGGCACTATGCTACCAGAACTAAATTCCCAGGAAATAAAAGGCAGGGACATGTCCTGCCCTGCACTGTCAGCCCCAGCCTGATGCATTGAGTTCAGATTGGGGTTTTCTACTTAGTTGTATAAATTTTTAAGTGTTTAAAATTGGAGTTCATTCAAAGAAGAGTGGTCAGGATGGAGTGAAAACTTGAAACCATGTTTATATAAGGAAGAGCTGGAGGAACTAGGGATGTTTATTCTGGAGAAGAGGGTACAGAATTGGTGTCTTCATACATATAGAGGGTTGTCATGAAGAAGAAAGGTTAGATTTATTCTGCATGGCTCTGGAGGGCAGAATGAGGGTGAATAGGGCAAATGTTGGCTCTGTATAGAAATAGCTTTCTGCTAGTTACACATGTCCTTAAAAGGAGTGAACTACTTCAAAAAGTAGTAATTTTGGATATTTAAAATAGCCATGCCTAGGCAGATGGATGCTATTGCTTAAAGGATACTGGGAAAATCCCACAAGTCTGGACTAAAGATCTCCAAATTCCTCTCAACTGTTAAGATCCTGGTCCATAACTCACCATCTTTTTTGTAGAGCAAACACATCCCTTGACTACCCTCTCATTGCCAAGCACCATGCTGGGGTGCAAAGAACTCCAGACCTTCTGATGGGGAAGCCAGACATGCAAATAGAGACTACAGCATGGAGTGAAAATCTAGGTGCACCAAGCCTAGGAGCCTTGAAGAAGGCCCACTGATGTGATTCCCAGGGATGGCAGTGCCTGAGTTGGGTTGGGCTACTCTGCAATGTTCTTTGAGTATAAAATCATTTAGTGTCTTCCTTTACAATTTCACTTTGCTTGTCATGCCCACAATGCTCTGAGTCTTATCAGTCTATGGATTAAAATGGAGTCACATTGACAATAACAACCCAGATTACACTGATGCTTCCCCCATATACTGCTGCAGGGCCTTCAGGCACCCATAAAAATCTTACCCAGTTGTCTCTGTAGTCCCCTGGGGATGCCTAATGGAAGTTCAGAAGCTGATCCCTCTTATTCTCCCACTCCTCCTTGTTGTGCTAATGTTGTTGGTGGTGATCCTGTTGGTATATGAACCTACCTGAAGGTGGTATTTCCCATGCCAGTCATGTTGATGCTGTTGGCCTTCACAATAAAGCTGAGGCCCCCACTGAGCATTCATGTTTCCAGCTTTGCAGCCATGATGGTTCCAGACAGATAGTGCACTTCTTGATGTCTTCACGTAGCACAGCCACACTGTTCTCAACAAAGGTGGGGCAAATGACCTACTTCCTCACTTGGTGTCACCTTTTGTCACCTGCTTAATGAATCAGGACTAGGTAGACCCTTGTGTCTCACAATATCACTCTTGAAATAAGTTTCTTCAGCCTCTGGCTGCAACCCAAAGGGATAAGGCTGTGGGACCAGTATCTGAGAGAGATACCAGGAATTTCTCTCCATTCCTGTAAAGATATCCAAAGGTCTTCTCTTTCCTGGCAAGTTCTCCTTCAGCACAAATATATGGCAAAACAAACTACCATCCTGGCAGCTTCACCTACCAGGTCATTAGATATACCCACACCTAAAGTGATTGTTATTGTTACTAATTACTCTATGCCTGGCATAGGGCTAAACACTTTTCATATAGCATCTCATTTAATCACCTAGATCCTTGAAGGTACAGAGTATTATCATCTTCATTTGTAAACAAGGGTGAAGCTTAGAGGAATTAAGTAACTTGCTCAAGATCAAACAGCTGATAGAGCTAGAATTCTAAAGCAGGCTTATCTGGAATATTCCAGACAACAAACTCTCAACAACTTTGTAACATTTTAGCATAAACACTCAGAACCTGTATAAATTTGTTAACAATAAAGTGTCCACTCTTTTCATTGTCATCTTTTCTTAAATTTAAAATTGGGTTTTGCATCCAGGGCTGGGAAGAAACAGTGGATGCTGCTATTTCTTATCTATTGAAGACCTGCCTATCGAAGAGTTCAAAGGAACAGGCTTTGAACCTCAGCAGCCAACTGAACATACCCAAAGACACAAGCCGACTGAAGAAACATATCACCTTGCTGTGTGATAGATTAGCCAAAGGTGGACGCCTCTGCTTAAGTACTGATGCTGCGGCCCCACAGACCATGGTCATGCCAGGTAAGTGCTTCATTATGATCCCCAGACACAATTGTACTTTCCCCAAATTAAAGGAATGTACCTGTGGTTATATTTGGAGTTTAAATTTCATATTAATGTGATGATAGCCAAGAAAATTGCTTTCAGGTTTTCCTTCAGATATCCTAGGGTAAGTACTTAGATAAATATTCCTGGGGTTTTGCTTACTAGACATTTCTTGAGTGTTATGTCTTTTTTTCTTCCCTCTGCTTTTAAATATATGATCCATTTTGTTTTTCTTCTAACCAATAAAAAGTAGATTAGCGAATGAAACTATTTTTAAGGAAAAATTTTACTAAATGTGATCTTGTGATACCATATTTCATACTACAAGCAGCAAATGTAATCCAGATGAGTCATCACCGTTCTCCTGTTTGCTTGGACTGTGATCACCAGAATAAGGAGAAAAAGACAAAGGGAAAGATTGGGAACTAGGAGATATGAGAAGGCTCAGGGCTGAGGCATCAGCCAGGGTGAGGAGAGATCTGGTTGCTCTTTTGTGAGCTGTCTGTGATGGCTATGGGCATCCAGGTCAGCCCATCCCACATTTGTAGGGGCTGAACAGCCATGCTGCACTTGAGTCCCTTGGAGGTGGCAGCCCCAAGGCCCATTTCCCTGTTCCCAGCCTCTCTCTTTTATGGCAGCAACAAGGAGCACAAAGGAAATTATTGTATTAAATGACCCAGCTGTAGCAGCCATTTCCTCCTAAAGCAAGGCGCTTAGTATGGGAAGTGGTGTGGTTTTCTCTTCTTCCTTCTCACATACCTTTGTGCACCCCACATGCTGTTGCTCCTGCTGTTGCTTCCTTTTTCCCTCACTCAGCATTCCTAGAAGCAAAAAGGAATGCAAGCAAAATCTTAAAAAGATAAACATGGAGTCAGCGTAGTATAATGCAATAAGCACAGGCTCTGGAGTCAGACGGACCAAGCTTTGGTCCTGACTCCATCCCTTAATACTTATGCGATCCTTGATATGTTACTTAGTTTTCCAGAAATTTGGTTTCTTCTTTTGGAAAGTGGGCATAATGTCTACCTTGCTGCTGGGGCTATATTTGTAACGCACCCACCCTGTGTTTGAAATAGAGATACTTTTAAAAATTCAAGCTATAATTATTACCACTGTAATGGATATATGTATAATTCAGCCTTGAAATTTGGAAGTGGGTAAATAGCTGGTTTGGTTAGGAGCTCTGGTGGCACTGTGATTAAGTAAGACATTGAGCTGCTAACCAAAAAGTCGGTGGTTCAAATACACCAGTCACTCCCTGGGAAAGATGAGTCTGCTTCCGTAAAGATTTACAGCCTTGGAAATCCTATGGGGTCACTGTGAGCTGGAATTGACTTGATGGCAGTGGGTTTTTTTTTTTTTTTTTTAATAGCTGGTTTTTAATAGCTGGGCCATGGAATTCTATTTTCAATTATTTGAATGATGCTTTTACTGTAATTACACATAGATAGAACGTAATTTGTATTCCAAAAGAATATTTCTATTTTGGCATTTCAGAATAGAAACAGCCCCGACACAGTTTGACTTTATTTAGACCCTCTTCATCTTGCCCTTGTAATATCCTCCTGACTAGTCCTGCCCTCTCCACTCATTCCTCTTCTGTCCAGTTAGGAGATTATTTTCCTAGAATTAAATATTTAGGGTTAATAAAGGGATAAATGAAAAATATTCACTGTGATTGGCACTCAGCACATGGCTCTCCCTCCCTGCCTGCCAATGGAAAAGATGAAAGGTACTTGAGGAAGGGGGGCAAATATGTAAAAGGGAAAATTTAAAAATGAAGAGCATTGATTCACTGATTGGCAGGTACATCTGTCCTTTCAGACTTCAACAACCCTGGGTTCTCACCATCAGGTCCCAGTCTGAGCCTCTTTGGGAACAGTCATTAGGAGTCCAGTGGCAATGCTAAGAGCAAAGACTTGGACATCTAGAGGGAACAAATATCTCCTTAGTCACATTTAGTGATATAGAACTTTAGTAGTTTTTTTGAAGATTTCTGAACAACTTGGGGGTTGTGCATCTATCTAGGATACGGGACATTTTACCACCAATGTGTGAAAGGAAGGGGCAGAAGAACGGAGGAAAGGAAAGGAGAAAGACAGAAAAAAGAAGGAAGGAAAATGTTTACAAACCAGGAATGTCTAAGTCAGGGCTGTGCCTCTCATTTCTGTGATAGTTGAGTTCATTCCACTAGGGAGATTGAAGCTGTGTCGATTAGTGTTTCACTGTCAGTCATAACCCCTTGCTTTTACTTACCAAAAACTGTGACTGTGGCCAAGTGACTTTCCTTCCCACTTGCTCTGATCTAATCATGAGAGTGTTTTTCTGGTTTTTCAATTGTTAGATCATTGTTCTTTGTCATGAACATGCTCAATTATTGCCTATAATCCTTTCCTTCCCTAGAACTCAAATGCTTCACATACTTGTCTCTTTTTGTATGTAGCACATTTTTGAAGCAGAAAGAGTTGTATGTGTAGAATCATTGCTGTTTTACAGAGAATGAAAGCAGGAAAGGCTAAATAAACACATGGTTACCAGAAGGGTTAGGTCTAGAATCCAAATCTCCTAGACCACTGCACTCCCCTCTAGACCATACAGACCACAATGGTCTAAACACGTAGCCAACCAGAGCTCCTTTTGTCGAAGCTGTTCTTAATCTAGCCTTCTTGTCACTGAAATTGCTCTAGCAGTGTGAGAGGAAAAGAGCTGAAATTGCTTCATGTTGTCTCCTTTGCTATGAGGAATATCTTAAAGATTTATCTGATATTTATTTTGTACTCAGTTTTTATTATCTACATAGGTGACATAATAGCATTATCACAGAGAGAATTATTTCTGCTTCAAATGAGTAATTGTACAACTTACATTTAGTTTAGCTATAATAGTTGACTCAATATATGAAGATAAAGTGGCATATTGGATAGGAGTGGATTACATATACATATGAGCATAAAAGCATTTTTCACAGACATGATCTTTTTTTAAGAACTGGACGGGAACTTAGAAATCATCTGGTTCACCTCCCTCATATAACAGCTGAGGTAACTAAGGGCTAGGAAGGTGAAGTAACTTAGTGGTGGGTATTAAAAAGCAGGAGTGTGTATAATTTTACCATGTTCCCTATTAAATTGCAGATGGATAAACATTTCAGAATAAAAACCCCTTGGTCTTTTCTAGCCTCATGACTTTATGAGCCCAGTACCTTGGATGTGCCCTTTCTTTGCTCCAGGAAAAGCCACGATGACAGCATCCTCTCTGATGTCCAGAGTCTGAAAATTTTTCCCATTGGGAATTACCTTGTGGGCTTTTTTGCTTAACATTTCCCCCACTTACCTTTATCAACTTCTGTACTCTATCAGGTTTAGCCTAACCTTTCCTATTGAATTCATTTTATTCCAGAACCATGAAGCTTGTATTTCTCTTATCCACAGCTCTGGTATTCACTTCTTTCTGTTGGGGAACATTGCTTGTAAGGTATCCATTTTCATTAAATATCTTTTTTTTCTCATCTTAGCTGTATGCACTCTGTCCGTACAGCCAGAATCACAGAGCGCCCCCAGGGTGGTGGTGTTGACAAACCTAAATGTGAATGCCTTTTGTGTTCTACCTTACTTTCTCATGTGTGACTGTTACCAGCTTTGTTCCTACAGGTACTTAGGGCTGAGAGAATTGCCTTAGATTGCTGAGGTTTCCTTTTATAATCTCAGTGCCTAGAACAGTATCTCATGGCCAGCTAAGGCATGCTTGGGTGTCATAAATGGTTAAACACTTGACAGTTAGCTGAAAGGCGGCGCCTTAGAAGACAGGCCTGAAAATCTGTTTCTGAAAGGTCACAGTCTTGAAAATGCTATGAAGCACAGTTCTACTCTGATACACTTCGAATCACCATGAGTCAGAAGAGACTTAACAGCAACTAACAGCAATAACAATTATAGCTAAGGTTTGAATCTCTTAACGCACATATGCAAAACTAAACACATAGGTGGCCTGACTCATGATATTTGGAGACTGTTCTGGTTACCTAGTGCCTCTCTGACAGGAATATACCACAAATGGGATGGCTTGAACAAACAGGAGTTTATTCTTACAATTTAGAGGCTTTAAGTCCAAGTTCAAAGTACCATGCTCTAGGAGCTGTGTGAAAACCCCTCGACCTTGGGCTTCAGCTCTGCCTCTTGCTCCCAGCCCACTGAAGCTAGAGGCATCTCTTCACTCAGGCAGCTACTGGCTGCTAGGGCTAACAAGCCCAAGGTCAACAAATAAAATGGCACGCACAGTCCTGATGTTACCAAACCACATATAGGCCATTAATTCAAGTCCATTTTAAGTCCCAAGGTCGGCAGAGCATGGCTCACTGCTGAACAACGACATGGATACATGCAGGGTCCAAGTGTGCCATAAACTAGATACTGTTCCCCAAGGCTTCTCCTTGTATGCAGGAAGCAAACCACATTCCTAAGGCAGCTACTCAGCTGCTCACAGTATATTCCACCATGGAGTTGATTACCAGTCTCATCGTGGGGAATACTACATTCAGCTGCCTAGCTACTCAACTAGGCCCAGCCAAGTTGACACACAAAGTTAACTATCACAGAGACTGATAATTTTAAGCTCATAGAAACTATAGCTTTTATCACCCAAAAGTTAAGGAGCTCTGGTGGTGCTGCAATTAACACATTTGGCTGCTATCCAGAAGGTTGGCAGTTTGAACCTACCAGCTACTCTGTGGGAGAAAGATGAATAGTCTGCATCTGTAAAGATTCACAGCCTTGGAAACCCTATGGGGATCGTTCTAAGTCAGAATTGACTCAATGGCACTGGGTTTGGTTTGATTTTTATGTGAAAAGGCTAGCGGTTTGAATCCACCAGCCACTCCACAGGAAAATGATGAGGCAGTCTATTTCTGTAAAGATTTACACCTTTGGAAATCCATGGGGCAATCTACTCTGTCATGGGGTTGCTATGAGTTGGAATGG